TCTTTTTTCTCTAGTAACTCGTTTTTTTTTCTTCTCTCTTTTTTTATCTCTTCCTACTCACTCTTTTTGTTGTTCTCTTTCGCCTCTATCCTTTTCTCTCTCTCTCTCTCGCTCTCTCGCCCATGTTTTTTCTCACTCTCGCCTTCCTTGTCTCTGTGTATATATCTTTCTTCACGTTCTTTTCTGTCCTATTGTCCCTTTCTTCTTCTCTGTTTCTTTCTTTCCTTCTCTCTCCCCTGAAATCTCCTTCTCTTTCCATCTTTTATTCTCTTACGCCACTCTTCCCTGACCTATTCTACTCTCTCAACCTATTTCGTCTATTCGTCTCTCTCTCTCTCTCTCTCTCTCTCTCTCTCTCTCTCTCTCTCTCTCTCTCTCAATTTTTCTCGCACCAACTCAGTCGACATCATTTCATAGAATTTTTTTCTTCCAATCAGCCTAAACTTATTCACGAATACTATTATTCTTTTGTTCCAAATAGAAATGCCTTCTGGAATAGAAATAAAATAAGCATTTCGCTTCAAATAAACGTTCCGCTGGGAATTTTAATATACGTTTAATAAACACGAAACAAAATAATCATGTTGCAGAAAAAATATTTGAAAAATCAGCGTTCCAAATAAGCACCGATGTCGGTACGTGGGTGTCGGGGGAGATGGGAGAAAATAATTTAATCCTACAGACTCTTTTATTCGATGCACAAGAGTCCAAATCGAATTTGACAATTTTATTTTTCGCGGTATTTTTCGACAAAATAATGTTTCCAAAACTGAATTTTAGCAAACAGCTTCCGGTCATCTAGTCAGGATCGAACTCACTAACGATGATTTTTGAGAACAGATTTTTTTTTTTAAATGCAATATTTCTTCAGGAAGTCACCGATCACGGCGCTCTATAGATTCCTTATATACATTATCTGTCAATTCTCAAGACTTCTTGGAAAAGGTAATGGAGTAGTTACTCGTTCACTTTGTAATTTATTCTCCTGAACTGGCTGTAAACCATGGCTAGAGAGTTCAGTATACTTTCCTATTTAACCCATAGCTGGAGAGAAGAAGAGTTAGATTGATGCCTTTCCAAAAGACAGTTGTGTGAAAGTGAATGCCACAGACGCGGTCGAAATTTGAACTTGATTCGCTAATAACTGTTGCCTCACATTTTCTATTCATCTATGAGAAAACTGTTCCGCATTCACTGCCATATAAGAGGATTTTCACTACCTTAATATACAAAACGCTAGTGTAACCGTTTTCCGCAGGATATCACTTAAAAGAAATAACTCACTGAAAAATGTCAGGATATAACCGACAAAATCTTGTCTACCATACTGGCAACTTTTTGGTCTTGATAATGACTGTGGCGATCAAAGTTTCTTGAACAAAATCAGCAGAGCGAACTGAGCCTTCGGACATTTTATCCACAATTTTCATTTGGATGTACATCTTATCCGAAAAACACATTATTAGACATTACGATCTCTAGACCGGTAGACATTAATTTCCTTTTCTTAAAAACAAAAAACCCTTTGAACCCTGCGTTCCTGAACAATTTTAACCCTTCTGCCTGAGCTCCTGTGTCAAAATTCGCAAATAATTGCTATATAATGTTTCACGGTAGATATAAAAATAGTTACAAAAAATATAATCATTATACTTAGCAGGGAGAGAGTAGGATTGCATGTCTTTAAAAGAGCTGTGGTGAAATAATTTATTACATGGAACCTTAGTGGTCTGTTTTTATTCAAATTTATTTGATCTGAATTTACATGGATTACCTAGTTTTGCATAAACTATATATATATATATATATATATATATATATATATATATATAGGGCGCCATGGATAATTGTCGTATAATTATCTCGAAATACTAAAGAGTAAATTTATTGAATAAAACCGTCACTAGCTTCAACCACTAGATGACTACGGAATCTCCTGCAAATCTTCTGAGCGGTCTCCTTTTTTTAAGTTGGTGAATGCTGCCATAATCGTTGTCTTCAGTTCATCTTTGGTGTTACAAGTTGATTTATTGGCCTCTCGCTCAACTGCGACCCACCCATAATAATCAAGATGTAAGTGGTGCTGTAGTTGCAGAAATTCTGTGACAGGCATGAGTGGGTACACCTGCACCCACCATCTTGACCCAGGGAAGCACTAACGTGGGAAGATGAATGGAAGCATAACATCGCCATCACTAATGATCACTTCAAACACCGTCGTAATTACCATTAGACTCATCCAACTTTTTCCGGAATCCTCTGCATTGTCCTCAGATTGGCACCTAATCACCCTGAAATGTTCGTACTGAAGCTTCCGGTGTGAATGCCAAGTAGTACAGCATGCGGTTTCCAAATTTCTGGCGCAGTGAATTACGTCATGGTGAACTATTTCTCACAGACAAAATGACCCTACTATACTGTGCAGTAAACAAAATCAAAAACAAATAACTTGCATACGCAACATTAAAAATATAAAATGGCGACAATATATATATATATATATATATATATATATATATATATATATATATATATATATATATATATAATAATAATAATAAAACCCAGACGACATGCGTTTAACGGATGTCAGAATTCGTGAAAAAATGCACCCCTACCCTCCCTAAACTTAACCTGTTTTTCGAACGTAACTCATAATTGATACAACAATAGTTAATAAAAATGAACACGCTACAGCCCCTGTCTAAATGATTGGATTTCTCTGTATCCTTGGAAACAGGAAATTATGAATTTATCGTGAGTTTAAAACTCAGTAAATTTAAAAATAAGTTATTCCAAAATTCGCTTGAAGATGAAACAGAACTAATGCTTTTAATTTAATTATATAATTAAATTTGAAGTTTTTAGCTTTGGTTTTTGAAACATGGTTATTACTGTGTAGCGAAAAAAACATATTTTAAATCAGTTAATTTATAATATTTATGCTCTGTAAATTTACATTGAGCACTCTTTTGTAAAAATAATAAATATCAATAAGAACAACGGATTATATATCTTACTGTTCTTTTTCTTTATATATATATATATATATATATATATATATATATATATATATATATATATTATAAAAACAGAGCCTTTTAAAGGAACCGGATTATAATAAATTAAAATGAAATGAAACGAAAATGCCTTTAAAATTGATGGTTAGATATAAAGAAACTTACAAAATGAAATTTGCACGAAATTTTTCGTTAAATTTCATTTTGGAATAAAATCTGATGACATACCGTCAATTTAAAATTTTTGGTGAAATAAATTATTATAATGGTAAATTTTAAAGTGGTCTGTTTTTTTTTTTATATATTATATCTGGATTTACATTGATTTTCAGGATTTCATCCTCTTTGGGATTACCCATACGGATTACCAAGTTCTTCATAACTTATATATATATATATATATATATATATATATATATATATATATATATATATATATTCGTCCATGCATTGACTATAGCAGTCACATCTGGTCTGGTGTTCCAGCTATGAATTTAGAGATACTAGATAAAATGCAAAAACGAATCTTATCAGTCCCGACCTGTTCTCTTGCCATCAGTGACTTTTCCACATTTGTAACGTAGTTTACCTGTGCCTTTTTTAAAAATACTTTCATGGTAATTATTCTCATGAAATTTCATATTTGGTGCCTTGACTTTTTGAATTTAAGTTCAGTACGATATTGGTGACAAGATCTCATCATTTTACATTTGAACTAGATATATATAATATTAACAGTCTCTTTTCTTGCACTTCTCGCTTGTGGAACTCTCTTCTGGTTTCTTGATTTCAAAAATGATCTTCAAAAATTTAAATGAAATGTCAGTCGTTATCTTCCGTCTTCTTAATTATTGATCTTTTATTGTTCTCTGTCCTTAATAATGTTTTATTTTCTCATATTCTCTAAAACTCAGTAACCCCTTGCGACTTATTGACTGCATTGTCTTGCTTGGGTTGAAATGATTCAATACACACACACACACACACACACACACACACATATATATATATATATATATATATATATATATATATATATATATACATACATATATATATATATATATATATATATATATATATATATATATATATATATATATATGTATATATATATATATATATATCATTATTGCAAGTAAACGTAAGCATTCGACTATAATTTTGGCGTACTGCCCCTGCTGTCATAATGGCGAATGTACTACCACGGTTGATTGCTCAAAATCAATACTTATTTTCAATAAGTATTCAATATTTATTCCAGTATATTTCTGTATATTACTGAGACTGGTAAACTCTAAAGCTTCTTTGGTGATTCTTTCAGTCTTTGAATTGTGATTTCTCAAATCAAAACTGCATTTTCAGTGCCTTTATCAAAAACTGATTACAAGTAAACATTCTCACAAACTTGTGAGTGGTTGACAAACTAAGCAAAAATCCATTCAAATCGCATATAACAAGTTAATTTAGTGTTCATAACTATATGACTATTATGAAAAACGGACTATTATGAAAAACGGTGAAAATTCTTATATAACATTCTTATATAAAAATAAAAAAAAATAATTCTTATATAAAATGCTTAAATAAAAATAAAAAAAGTTCTTATTTAAAATTCTTATATAAAAACTACAAATATACAGAAATTATTACATTTTTTTTTAATTTGTACATGTTTGTTATCTTTGACCCCTGTCAACCAGTATTTTGAATCTGATATATATATATATATATATATATATATATATATATATATAGTCTGCTCTACTTTTGTATTGAGCACTTTTTTAGTTAGTTGATTACTCGTATCGGGTTTTTTCTTTGGACTTTGGACCTGTATGCTGTACGATTATTTTCGACAGACGTTCATGTTCCTAGCTCTTTCTTCTTTAAAAACCTTTTTTTTTCCTTCGAAATTGATTTGACCATTAGCAAATCAAGGAACCGAAGGTTTTTCGAGACGAGTGTAGTTACTTATATTTATATATTATAGATAGATAGATAGATAGATAGATAGATAGATAGATAATTAATTCTAATTTCTATATTCCTCTCTTTACACTATATTAAATAAAATTTATAAAGTTTCCCCAATTCTAAGATCTCCCCAACTCTCTGTCTATTAATCCCTTACACCCTTTTATCTATATAATTTAAAGTTATTTTTTAAACCCCTTCTTATTCTTCCCTTAGTTTTGAATTAATATTTCATTCTTTATATAACCACAAATTAATGTCATAAGGTTAATATTCGGGTATAATTTTGCAAAACTTCTTCCCTTTAAGACTAGGGTCTTCAACCCACCCCTGACCCCTGTCTTGTGCCTTTCGTCTGACTGAAACATTGAAATGGATAAATTCTGTATTGTTTTTTGATCGGGTTTTTATTTATTTTTTAACTTTCACATATAAATTTCTATTTCTGACACGAACTCAGTCCATAACGGGGTTGATAAAACAGACGACAGATATTTTCGTCTGCTGAAAAAGGCTATTACCCATATGACGATTTTATTGTTTATTAAGTATTTGCTCTGTAATAATAAATACATTGAGCTCTTTTTGTGGATCAGATTTAATATTTTATATTACTAGGATCCTCTTGGATTATATACCAACGAATTTATTAGCTTATATATATATATATATATATATATATATATATATATATATATGGTGTATGAGGCATTCTCTTACAAAATTTAGGGGTGGGTTCCTCACACTAAATCAAGATAAAATATCCATATAATCATACGCCTACACGGCCATCGTTTTACCTCAACACAACAACTCATAACAAAGTTTGAAATGGTTTCGCAGGCCCCCATGACACGTTAATGAAATAACTCTGGATTATTAATATCTGTTGATTGTTTAGGTGGTCCCACAGATACAAATCCAAAGGAAAGAGGTTCAGGGGACGTGCAGGGCATGGAACTGATCCTCCCCTACTTATTCATCTTTCATACATATAGATGTCAGCCAGGACATCGCGAACAATCTGAATAAAATCTGCTGGAGCCCCGTCATGCATGAACCACATGTGTCTTTGTATTAGCAGGGGAACATCCTCTAGCAGGTCTGGAAATGTATTCGATCTAAAATCCCTGTAGACAGTTCCTGTAAGACCTAATGAGAGAACATATGGACCTAACAGACAGTCGACTACAATTCCAGCCCACGCATTAATCGTAAAGTGATGCTGGTGTCTCGCCTGTATTGTACCCTAGGGATTCAGATACTCCCACAAATGTTGGTTGTGTAAATTTGTTATTCCATCTCATCCATAAACAATACTGAAGAGACAACGCGTCAGCAGTTTGTGAAATTAAACCACCGGTCAAAGTTATCCCGTGGTGAGTGAGCAGTGAGCGAAAGACACGTTGCAAATGATACGGATACAGGAGCTGCACATGAAGTACGCTCCATGCGGTACTATGAGATGTACGACATGTTAGGGCCACTTGATGTGTGCTGATACCTGGATCATCTCCGACAGCCTGTAGAATGTGTTATTCGTGTTCAGGCGTACGAGCGGATCTCTGTCTTCCTCGGCCCATAGTTTGTGGTGTCACGGATCCTGTCTCAGCAGCGCGACGATAAACAGCAGCAAAGGTTGGATGAATCGGCTGCTTTCGGTCTGGAAACACAATCTGATACAGCCGTGCAACCTCGCGTCCATTACCAGTTGCGCCCGCGGTAAGTAAAATCATGTCTGCCTGCTCACAATATGAATATCCCGCCATTGTTAAACGGAACAGTTCTCAGTCAACTCACTACTACACACGTTAAACGTTGAAGACAGACTAGCCACAAATGTACACGAATGGCAAATGTAACCCAGTCTACATGACAACACAGCGCCACCTACCGTATACTTTCTTTAAACTTAATAACTCAAAAACGAAGGATTTTCAGACATACGTTTATATGGATTTTTATCCTTACTTTGGGGTGGGAACTGCTCCAAAGTTTGTAAAAGTATTTTTGATACACCCACTATACATACATACATACATACATACATACATATATATATATATATATATATATATATATATATATATATATATATATATATATATATATAAGAGAGAGAGAGAGAGAGAGGGCAATATGAATAAATTGAAAAGGAACATTTATCTTAGCCGACGCGTTTCGTTCTCTGATTGACTTTATCAAGACAAATAAAAGGATTTTATTTTGCAACATGCATTTATAAGCCGAAGTAAAACTGATCATAGTTTTTCGAATTTTTTAAGAAACACTCATAAATATTTATAAGTTTAACTGAAAAGTCTAAAGTATGGAAGATGCTAAGTGACATAATTTAACGTCTAATAAACGAAAGTGAGTAGATGATGTTGTTATTGATTTTTTTATGCAATTAATATTTAAATTATTTCACTATGGGATAAATATATATATTTATTTTAAATATATGTATTATATATTTTAAATAACATGAGGTAATGAATTTAACAGTTTCGTTTTAATTGTTTAACATTTTTATAGTCCTGTATGTTAGCTTGGAAGAGGAATAATTCTTTCAGGAATGGAGATATTTTTTAGTATTCGGGGCGCACATTTATATTTTGCTAAGATTCCATAACGGCACTTTTGGGAATTTTTCGTTTAAGTTACTTTCTCTTTACTAAGTGTATTATTTAGAGCAGAGTTGTGGTTGCATTTATTTCTATGTATAACTAATGCATTTGATAAATTGTTATGTATTAATCCTTTTTTGTTCAAAGATACGTATTTTTTTTTTAAATTTCTGCAAGTTTCACCACTGTATTTTGAAGACCCGTTGTTACAGGTTATTTTATATATACCTGCTTCAGAGTTATTATTTTTATTGTTATTTTTTATTCTGATCATATCCATAATAGTTTTGGATGTTGTTGTAATTATTTCAACATTGTTTAGACTGGGTAAATTGGTTTTGCATAGTAGATGTTAAAGAGTTATTAGGTATTATTATTCTATTTTCTATAATCCGGTTTGAAAGTCATATCAGATCGAAAATAGAGTATTGCTGCCCAATCCTCTACCTTTGGCAGTTTTGAAACGCTCTTACGCGATCTTATGGGAGATGATTTATTTACCAACCTTTCTCTCACAGACGCAACAACGTAAGACTATCGCTATTTCCATGGAAAACGTCTTTCAGGCCGCATTCTCTAGTTCCACCAGTTCCGACACTGACAGCGAAGACCTACTATGTCATATACACAAGATCGAACCATCTTCATCCCTTTCATATTCCATTGACAAGGAGTAAGTTCCATTCTGATAGCTTATTCCCCAAAGCCTCTATCTTATGGTACAGGCTCCCGAGAGAACACTTCCTCGTACACTACAACCGTAACCTCTTCGTGTCTGGGGTCAACCGTTGCCTATCGTACGTATCCTTATAATGTGCACTTCTCCTTTCAACCTTCTACGTTCATACAGCAACTCCTTTTCGTAACGCTCTATCTTAAGTGATTCTTGTATTTGTGTGAATATTTTGTAAAAAAGAATCATAGACATTACATTCCCATGATCGCTCTGGATGAAAATGAAATCTTGACACCTGCGAATAATGACAACGTTTAATTGAGAGCGGAGTATGCAATATAGACTCTTTTCTGTCATCAGTTTTATCTTGATATTATTTTTATCGATCAAATTTAATTATGCCTTGTTTTATGACGGGGAAACTTCAAATATAATAATTAATATACAATTGTGTTTTACATGGTCTAATAACTGAATAAGCGTGAGTATTATATGAAACATCATAATGCGAGGCCAATATGTCGTCTACTTCTTTGTTCAATTAGCAGCGAGAAGACTTAAACAATGAATTACATGCTGTCCTGGGTATGACGATAAACTACATCCGACAGCAATGCCTCTCACCAGGAGGTTTTGAGGAGCGTAGAACCACCTCTTAATTGCTGGTGTTCCCAGATTCACTCTGACCCGGGTGGTAGCACCTGCTATGGTCCCAGCTGTGGGCAAATAGTTATCTCCCCAATTCTAGATTGTTGCGCCTTTAATATTAAACAACCTAGATTGAAATAAAATTGACGTTAATTCTACATTTTCTATTGCATATTATATGTCTTATAATTTATATTGTGATATTTATTTCTTCGATTCCAGCTCTGTTGAGTGAGGGCGAAACCGGTCAGCTGGTTGTTGTTTTTTACCATGAAGGTTATAATTACCTTTTTTTATTTCCATAACACACACACACACACATATATATATATATATATATATATATATATATATATATATATATATAAGACATTTTATGTTTATACGTTCTTTTTTATAGTTACAAATATTAGGTTGGTGTAAAAATAATGACGTAAGAATGTCGTTTTTGACGTAGAAAAGTACATCAAAAAACGACATTATTGCGTCATTATTTTTGCACCAATCTAATATTTAAGTAAATGCTTTGTTTATAATAAACAGTATTAACGACATTAACCGGTCTGAATGTCCGAGAAATTTTCATAGAAAATATGCTTCCGCCGACAGGAATCGAACCTGTATCCTATACGGAGCCGTCATATAGCCAGACGTGCCTTAACCGATTGGGCCACAGAGGAGCGTTCGGTTAGCAAGGTCAATTTTACTGCTTTTAAACACAATTCTCGATGATTTTCTCTCATCCATATCTGCTCAATGCGTATCCAAATGTAAACAATGTAAAAATATTTGTATCTATAAAAACAACGTATAAAGATAAAAAAATGTCTTAAATAATTCTTAGACTTTGTCCATTTTATAATGTATGACGTCATTTGTTTACATTTGGATACGCATTGAGCGTAAGAAGAGGAAAGAGGATGAGCACGTAAGTGAATGTAATGTGACTGGAATTCGAACTCGGCTCCCCGAATCCTCAATCAAATTATCGATTCCATTATTACACCATGCTATATATATATATATATATATATTTAATGAAAAACAGACAACTTTAAGGTACCATTACAATAATTTATTTCACCAAAAAAATGGTACCTTAAAGTGGTCTATTTTTCATTAAATATTAGCTCTGTATTCACATTGAGCTCTCTGAATTTCATCCTCCTTGGAATTACCCATTCGGTTTACCAAGTTCTTTTCATAACTTAACTATATATATATATATATATATATATATATATATATATATATATATATATATAACCAGTTTGTGATACGAAGGGATAATTTCGTTCGAAGAGGATATAAATCCAGGGAGAGGTCAATGTAGACCAACAGAGCATTATAATGATAATAAGAAGAGGGAGACTTTAATTATCCATTTCGTTTATAATTTTTATTTCGTCAACACCAACAGATTGAAAACTTCTCCGCTGAACATCTCGCTGTCCACGAAATTAAATTATAAACGAAATGGATAATTAAAGTCTGCGTTTGCTTATTATCATAGATAGATAGATAGATAGATAGATAGATAGATAGATAGATAGATAGATAGATATGACTAGTCTGAGATAGATAGATAGATAGATAGATAGATAGATAGATAGATAGATAGATATGACTAGTCTGAGATAGATAGATAGATAGATAGATAGATAGATAGATAGATAGATAGATAGATAGATAGATAGATATGAATATGTGAGAGATTAACAGAGTAAGATATATCGAAACAGACTGAGAGAGAGATAGGGAAAAGATCTTCAGAGTAAAATTGAGAGAAGGACTGAGATAGATAGAGAAAACAGTAAAAAGAGAGTGGTTGATAAGTGTTAAGGCTAGATGTACATTTAAATGCGTGTTTTAAGGAAGTATCGTTCGGCCTGACAATTATCTGCACTGAAAAATTAATTAGAAGCAGTCTCCAAGTTCATCCCGTTATAGTATACTGAAAAAAGGCAAGCAACACATTCTCCCTACATTATATTCCATGGCTATATATAGTGACATTTTTTCTCGTCACTAGATTACTTCAATATCTGACGTAGTAAACGCTGACTCAAGTAAATATTTAAGGAAACTGTCCTCTCAAATTTACCATCGAATGGTGTTTACCAGGCCATTACCACTGCATTTATTCAATCTTCAACTTGATGCCTCACTTTTGTGTCCTTGTCTCTGAAAAGCTTGCTTTGTAAATTCCTGCAACTATCTATCTCGATATTAAAAGCAGGAAGCTGTTATTCGCATTTTTAACCTTGACAAGAATTTTTTATTTTGAATTATTTTCTTTTTTTTTTTTTCTTTTCCTGTTTTCTTTCCGTACATCTGTCTACCTTTCTGCTCTATATCGTAAATTGTACGTAAGAAATGCAGGCCATTAAATACTTTTGACTTGTAATCACCATCAACCAATAAAAATCGTGTGCGCATTAAAGCGTTTCACATCGCCAACAGAAGACATTTTACCTCCGTTAATGCGGCGGCATGACGGCGCGATTATCCGGCCTCAAAACAAAGCCTCCCTGCGACATTGATCCTGACAAGAGGTGAGTAATTCCACGCCTGATAGATGCCCTTATCGAAACTTAATCACCCGTAAGAGACAAATCTCTATACAGCCAAACGATTTCAACTGTGAATATTCAAATTCGCAAGGGCTTTACTCGTCTGAATATTGCACTGATAATCGGATGTAGTTTGTTAGGGGAATATTTTTAATCAGTACACATTTCCCTGCCTATCCGAAAATGCAGCTTTCCTATGGAATCTTTCGTAAACCGAATTGATATAGAAAAATATTCTGAGAGTTCCCAGACTCAAAAATAAACTTGCATTATATTTTCCAGCAAATCATCTTGGAAAGTTTTTGATTGATTGAAGAAACATGCATATATATATATATATATATATATATATATATATATATATATATATATATATATATATATAATAAATTAATTGATTTAAAATATGTTTTTTCGCTACACTGTTCTAACCATGTTTCAAAAATGGAAGCTGAAAGCTTCGAATTTAATTTTGTAAATTAAATTAAAGACATTAGTTAAAAGCTTCGAATTTAATTTTGTAAATTAAATTAAAGACATTAGTTCCATTTCATCCTCAAGCTTCCATTTTTGAAACATGGTTAGAACTGTGTAGCGAAAAAAAACATATTTTAAATCAATTAATTTATAATATTAATGCTCTGTAAATTTACATTGAGCACTATTTTGTAAAAATAAAAATATCTATAAGAACACCGGATTATATATAAAGATCATAAAGATCAACAACATTTTCCCTTTGATTCACTGTGTACGCTGCCACTTCAGCGCATGATCTAAGGGATATTAGGGGACTCTAAATATATTTTTAACTGCCATGTCTGCTTGGTAGTTAGGTGATACATTAGAGCAGGTTTGGTTCGGTTTGGTTTGTTTTACAGCATATCAACCTCAATGGGTTATTTAATACTGACAAAATTTTTACTGCTGGTAAGATTTCTTTTCATCAAAAATGTACTGCTGGTAATAATTTTTCCAAAAAAAGTATTGCTGGTATTAAAATCTATTTTAATACTTTCATAATGCTTTGACCCCTTTTATTGGAGGGCGTTAACTATTTGCCCACATCTGGGACCACCCCGGGTCAGAGTGAACCTAGGAACACCAGCAATTAAGAGGTGGTTCCACGATCCTCAAAACCTCCTGATCAGAGGCCTTGCTGTTGGATTTAGTTTATCGTCTTACCCTGGACGCGGATGTTAGTTTATCGTCTTACCCAGGATGGCATTAGAGCAGGTCGATTTTAAAACCGTGGTATCGCCCTCAATTTGAAATTAGTAGTTCGATATGATGCGACAAAAGATTTCTTTCCAAGTCGTTACCGTTTTTTCAGGAAATGAGTTTGAAGATGAAGTTTAGTTTCAAAATTGTAGAGTTAGAATTTAATTCCGGTAATCAGTGAAAGCCTTATAAAATTTATAATTTAATGAATCTTCACAAATTGTATATAGGCAAGAATTAAAACACAAGCACAATATTATTAAATCATTATTCTATTAAATAAGACCGTAATTTATTTCAAAGGGAAATTATACTGAACAATTTATATATATTATAATGTAATATATTATAAAGTGCAAGAGTTTTAGTGCAATTTTCAATAAACAATACAAATTTAAAACATTTTGTCTCATAATTTGTGACCAGCAGTGTTATGGTGTTATATGCACTTTTATCTATTTTTTTGTATTTATTGAACATTTTTATCATCTAAAAAAACGATCTATCTATCTATCTATCTATCTATCTATCTATCTATCTATCTATCTATCTATCTATCTATCTATCCCAGTCTGTACGTATATATATATATATATATATATATATATATATTTAAAGTGGAGGAACTTTACATCGGGTCCCGCAAGCCTTCTTTGTGCAAACAACGTGAGTGTTTGCTGGGACTCGCTGTCATCTGCCTCTAGTTCCTTCTTGCATATATACGAACATATATATATATATATATGTGTGTGTAATTTTTTTTTCCACCTATTCTTATTGTACATTTCTCTGTTTTAATTTTGAATCTCCCGTGGAAGCCTGACGAGCGGGAGCGAAACCGGTTGCTTCCACCCCCTTGTTGTTGAGTTTGTTTTTTTTTTATTATTTAATATTGTTTTAATATGTCTTGTAATATTAAATTTTATACTTTTATTTCGATCATATATATATATATATATATATATATATATATATATATATATATATATATATATATATATATATTATAAATTGATTATTTAAAATATGGTTTTTTTCGCTACACAGTTCTAACCATGTTCAAAAATGAAAGCTAAAAGCTACGAATTTAATTTTGTAATTAACTTACAGACATTAGTTCCATTTAACAATAATTTTTTTTAAAAATCCAGACGACAAGCATTCAACGGATGTCAGATTTCATTGAAAAATACATCCCCTACCGGATACAATAATACAGACATAATGAATACCCAGATACCCCTTGTCCAGTTGAAGTAGATGTATCTGTAACCTTGGAAACATGAATTATGATTTTAGCTGTGTCTTTAAAACCCAGTAATTTTAAAAAGTTACTCCAAAATTCGCTTGAGGATGAAATGGAACTAATGTCTTTAATTTAATTACAAAATTAAATTCATAGCTTTTAGCTTCCATTTTTGAAACATGGTTAGAACTGTGTAGCGAAAAAACCATATTTTAAATAATCAATTTATAATATTAATGCTCTGTAAATTTACATTTAGCACTATTTTGTAAAAATAAAAATATCTATAAGAACACCGGATTATACATCTTACTGTTCTTTCTTTTTATTTATATACATATATATATATATATGTGTGTGTGTGTGTGTGTGTGTGTGTGTGTGTGTGTGTCCGTCCATATCTATCGATCTATCTCAGCCTGTTCATACCTAACAAATATTATTCATTGAGTAACCATTTTGTATCTTTTAAAATTGTTTTACAGTATTTACTTATCGAATGCAGTAAAATAAATTGTTATATATACTTTTATCTATTTTTTTATTATGATCTAACAAATGATCTAAAATTCTTATTCATTGAGTCGCCTTTTTTGGAATCTTCGACAACATTTTGCTTGTGATGATTAAATAAAATTCTGGTTTGAATATATTTTCCATTCAGTGTATCTAATACGAAAGATGTCAACTTCATTTGTATTTATTCTTGAAATAGTAAAAATTTGAAAACAGTTTGTAAAGAAAATCCTGCGGAAATTAAGTAATTCTTTACTCTTTTTTTTTCAGACAAATTTTAAAAGTAAATGTTCAAAAATTCGTAAAAGATACTAATCTATTTTTTCATCTCTGTTCTTAGAGAATCAACATTGGATTTGATGTGAAACCTCAGCTTTCACACCCACCGAATCCAATGTTGATTTACTAAAGAAAGTGAAAAATCCACCTGCCCTAATTATACATTCGTAATTACAATTGGTTACCAAAAACGGAAATTACTTATAACTCAACCTTATAGTATTTCAAGGCTTCTACATCAACAAATTCACACGTCAGATCCTGAACTCTGACCTCAAAGAAAAAGTTTATTTGTCGGGCCTGAGAAGGCTTAAACTTTTTTTTTCTTATGTAAATAGATGGTAATTCCTTCTTCAATTTACACTCTTTCGGAGAGCAGAGTAAATGTATTAATGGAGGGCTTTCGTAAAGGCGAAATAGGAGTAAACTGAAAATATATTAAACTATGTTTACCTGTAGTTGAAAGAACTGAATTAGAAAGTAATATCTTTAAGAAAAGCATACATGAAACCAACAACCAAGAAAAAAAATGGATTCCGTTTTCAATTAAAGATGTTAACTGCATCTTACGCTTAAGGCCCTTCTCTCATCATAGAAGCCAGTTAATTTTTTCTAAATTTAACTGAGTGCAATACTGGCTTGAAGTATTCAACGAATACAAACCGGAATCATTCTTTTATGAAGGAATACACAAATTAAATTTTCTACATCATAGAAAATCATGAAAAATATTTTTAGATTTGAATACTGATATCAATTTATAGTAAAATTATTTTATCAAAAATTTTCTAGAAACCCTTGGATCGACTTAAGATTTTAACTGTTGCATTGTTATAGCATTATTGCCTGGCTATGCTGGCCCGTTTCTGGAAAATAGGAAAAATGCCATTTACTGGAAATAAATGATTATAAAAACGCTGTCTGCAATTCCTCGTGGATGACGACATTTTTATTTCAGTTGAATGAATTCTAGTACAGACTAAGCTAAACTACATCTCAAGCAGACAATATAATAAAAAAAATATAAGACAGAAAACAGGCCGTATTGTATGCTACTACATGTCTACGCTGACAGTACGAAGCGTTAGTTAGCTTATAGAACAAACACTAAAGACCGACATTCTACAGTGACTTGAAAACGT